TGTGTGTGTGTGTGTGTGTGTGTGTGTGTGTGTGTGTGTGTGTGTGTGTGTGTGTGTGTGTGTGTGTGTGTGTGTGTGTGTGTGTGTGTGTGTGGTGTGTGTGTTATACATGCACATATGTAGAGAAATCAGTGACGGCGAACCGTGATTGGCTTTGATGTTCAGTCAGCAGATGCATGTTGCCACGGACGATCGAGCACGGCACTGTGAACGGCGTGTCCATGCGTGGCTACGCCGTTTACAACGAGGTCATCACCTACACATGCGACAAGGGCTTCCAGCTGAACGGCGTCGCCCACAGGCGTTGTCAGGCCGACGGTCGATGGAGCGGCACGGAGCTTAGATGCGTCGGTAATATAGCAGCCGCTGGGCTAGAGTCCCTGTATACGTCCCGATATGATACCAGCTATATCCATCTATATCTATATTTAATATCTATTATAATATATATATATATATATATATAATATGTATATATATATATATCAGAAGTAGATAATAGGTAAGATTATTCTAATAAGTAGATTCCCTATTATCTACTCCTGATATATATTAAAAGATCAGATTGATTCGGTTCATTTTCTAAACTTGTAATATCTATATCCAATATCTATATCTCGACCTCTATAAGGGGACTCTTGCAGCCGCGCGTCTGGAGCGCCATCTACACGCGTCGTAATCGCTCAGGCGATTCCGTGCGTTGTTTTGATAGCGGGTTAAGACGACTTTGTGACATGTATCATCGACATAGATCGTTGCGTAATTTGCGCTCGCCACGATATTTGATTTCGGCTGCAAGCATATTACGCGCGCGCGTCGTTTCGGTTGCGTTCGGTTAAAAATCGTTTTTTGGCCGTACAAATCTCTCGCTTCATTTTTAAATGATGAGTCTGTCGCAATCGTCATGCTCGCTCGGTCGAATAAGCTCGTGTCATATTTGATGTTCTGATTGCATGCGATAGGTCGGCTCGCACGCACCGCTTCCACTAGCGCTCACTTCCTCGCCGCGGTGCCCCCGTGTGCAGCAACGCACTCGTCGGCGCACGCTAAAACCATATACGCAAGCACCGCTGAAAAGCAAAGCGCTGCGTCGCGCCGAGGCGGGTGGGGGGTCGCGAAGTTCTTTATACGGGACATAATGCATTTCGCTATTATTGCCATCAACAAGCATTATTCGCGCGGACGTGCAGTCGTTGTCGATTCCGTCGGGGTCGCCGCTTATCATTGTGTGTGCGCGCACGTGCTTCGCAGAAATTAAGTGCCCACCGCCGGGCTCGCTGCTCAATGGCTACGTCACCGGATCGGGCACACACGTCGGCGCCGTTGTCGGCTTCACTTGCCACCGATGGGCGCTGTTCGAAGGAGAAAGCCCTTCATCGGAGTGCCTCTTCAACGGCACGTGGTCGCATCCGCTGCCTGAGTGCCAAGGCAAGTATATATGCATGCATGCCGAGAGGACAACAGCCCCGCTCTTGTGCGGAGCTTTATCCCAGTGGACGCCGGCGCCGAAATAGCCGACGTGCGGCGTAAAGAGCTGCTGCATGCCTACGGGAGGCGCAGAAATTATCAGTGTGAAGGCAGAATGGTTATAGCGGAAGAGATCGATCGAGGCTACAATATACAGCTAGTGCAGTCTCTATAATACGTCGCAACATCCCGCGCTATACCGGTAAGGGGAAAGCTCCGAGGGCAGTTCGAGAGATATTCCACAGCGTAATCATGAATCCCAACTGCCGTATAGATAGCCCGAAACAGATAAGAGACTCTAAATTGAACTGCCGGGTTGACACAGGCAGAATTTGATCGTCGGTCGATCAAACTCAAATTTCAAATATGCAAACCAAACGCTCGCTTTTAATGGATGTCAAAAGCTAGCGGATATTCCGTTGAATGTGTTCTCAAGATCTTATCTCTCCCGGCGCGCTCTCAATTTTGCCCATGTTTGCTTGTCAGCGTGGCCGGCAGTCATCACGATCCGCCATCAGCTTCAACTCAGCGGCGCAACTTCTCGCTTGCTGAACTCGATTCTCGTTGCGTGTCGCGGGAGCCAGCTTAAGTCATTCATTATCGTCGCGCACGGGCGGCGCGGCGCCGCACGATGCACTCATGTAATTCCTTCAATGGCATAACTTATCCGCGAGTCAACGCTTGTCGGAAACGACCACCTGGCGGTAGATACGCAACACCGTCAGAGCGCTCACCTACCAGTAGAACACGTACACGCGCGGTACGAGGCACCTGCGCGGTCAGAACGCGCACCCTGCCGGTTAGACGCGCCATCTGCGCAGGGAGCGCCTACCAGTAGAACGCCCACTGGCCGTTTCGAACGCTAACTACCGTAGACGCGCCATCTTCGGCAGGCGCGCCTCCTACTGGCATAGCGCCATCTGCCGGTGTACACACACCGTTTGTCGCTTACGGTTTGTGTGTGTCTGTGCCGCAGCGCAGTGCGTCGTGGTCCGGAGTAAGAGAGGGGCGCCGTGCAAGGCACCAGGAGGGCAAGGCTCGAGGACAAACATGTCGCCACCGGCGAGTCTCAACGTCTGCTGCAACAACAACCCAATCAGATGTACGACTGACCACAAGACCACTAACAGGGCGCCACCCGGACAGTGGAACTTCCAGCCAAGTGCCACCTAAGTAGGCGAGAATAGACTCCTCACCCGTGTCTGCATGTGCTGCGTTTTGTGTGTCGTGTGTGTCTGTGTGTGTGCGTGTGTGTGTGTGTATGTGTGATGTCGTGGTGTGT